CCCTCTCATGCCCGTCTGGAACCCCAAGCTGGAGGAAGCTGCTCGCCGGCGGGATGACCTACCGCAGATCTCGGTGCGCCCGCCTGCGTCCCTGTGATCTAACCTAGGCGCTGACTGAGTCACTCTTCAATTTGACCTGCACCAACGCGCCTCGGCTTCCTTTCCGCCTTGATCCGCCTTGTGCCTCGTTTGCGGCGGCCGTTAGGTGACGATGCCGGACAGCAAGTGTTTTGCGTCGGGCGAGGTCATCTCGATCGCCCTTGAGATTGCATGTCCTAGTGCGCCTGCACTCGCGCGGTTGCTGTCCCACAACGCGCATCTCACGCTCGTGAAGCGGCAGAAGACGTGGATCTCACTCGGCGCGCAGATCAGCATCCGCGAGCAGGTCCTCTCGCGCGCGGACATCTACCTCGCGGACGAAAGCCAGGAGGGCACCGCGTACCTCCGACTGGAAGTTCAAGCAGGCGAGGCGGCGCGGGAGTCGACCTGGAAGGTACACAACGTGGTTGCTGTCGAGGTAAGTTGATCATGATGAGCCATGCTGCGTGAACCGTGCTAATTGGTTGTCCCATCTCTCAGCACATTCTGCGGCTTCTTATCCTGCCACCCAGCCATCTCGAGAATTTCCCGATGTTCAAGTACGAGGTGCCGCTGCAGATCACAACGGACCAGTACGGGACGCTGCAGAGCGAGATCCTGGCCATGGGCGGAGTGCCCTTCCCCGCGCTTGGGCTGAACGATGTGCAACGGTACCTGCGTCCCAACCGTTGAACGCTTGTTCAGGTTGGGTCCCGCCTACGACTGTGTGTCTACGTGCTGTATGTTCACCTAAGTTATATCTTTTTCTCTTTTCCTTTTACGACCGTTACGACCTGTTGTTTTCCCGCATATGCCAGCCGTTCTTACCCCCAAAAGCTTACCTAGTTCTCAATACTTTCTGTTCATGTATCATGCTCCGTTCGTTGGCACTTTCGGGTGCGTGGAAGGTTTAGATGTTGTGGTACCGTGCACGGAGAACATCTCTGCTCTGTCCACGGTAGGCTTGCGTTATCCATTGAACAAAACACATACTCTCCATGTTGCTCTTCAAAGCCAAACTTGCCAAAAGGGCGCATACCCACTTGGAGAAAGGGCGGCAATGTCGTCCAGGAGGGCGGTGCATTAGCCGCAGGTCGATCTGCTGGCCGTATTGCACCTCCCGAGCGCGAGCGATTGGGCGGACAAGACGGAAAACCACAGGACACACTGCCACCACGAGCGAGGGCAGGCACCCGACGCGGATCGGGGACCGATGACGTCGGGATCGGTCAGACCCGGAACCCCGATCATTTGTCCAGACCCCGTTGCCAATTTGAATTTTGAATTTTCCTTGGTTCGCCGAAGCCATTCCTGCCCCGCCCATCCTGGAGCCTGGCAAGAAGCCGCTCCTTGTCTCAACGCCATCTTTCAACTTGAAGTGCGGGCAGTCATCCAGAGGTCCTGAGGATACGGGTGAGTGGTTGATGATCCGGCGTGCTCGACGACACACCACGAGTGCCACGTCGTTCCTCATACGTCGGCTCTCCTGGATGTTCCGGTCTCACTGTCTCGCATTCGAATTTGTTCGCACAGATTGCACAAGTGGCGACCAGGGCTGTGGACTTAGGCGTCGACTGCTCTTCTGTGCTCTTGGTGCAATTTGACTTCATCTGCAAGCGCTTCAGTCCTCATGGATCAGTGAGTCAGAGATCTGGCTATTTGTCTTTGCGGGGGCAGCGCTGACAAATGAGACGTCGTGCGCGCTTTCAGAATATTCTATGCCGTCAAGCTCGCCTCTAGAGAGTTTGTGCCCAGGCAGGAAGACCGACGCATCGTGACATGGACGAATTTTCCGCAGGTGTTCTCATACTGCATTCCCTACTTTTTCATGGCATATCTCGTTCGCAGACGAGACACACGTCTTTTGAGAATACTCCTCCTGCCACTGGTGGTTGCAATGGCCGTCAGATGCACTTGGGGATATACCTTTGCCAATCCGCGGTTGAGATGGTATGAGTGGGATCGAGGTTTGTCATCTACTTATATGCCTCGGGTGAGAGATACACTGATTTATTCGTCATACTGCAGGTATAATTGCCCTGGTCTGCATAGCCAAAGCTATAGATTTCGCATGGGCAAAGAATGGGAGGCATAAAATGACCGAGCAGTCGCTCAAGGTAGTCAACGATCAGCAGGGCCCCATTCGGAGTAATAATGCCAACCGCACCGGCCTCCTCGCCCACTTTCCCGACGGTCTATGCGATGCGCTCGAGGTCGGACTTTCTATGCGCGGTATCGGATGGGACTTCGGACAATATATCTACGTCCCTCCTCCAACCCAGCCCTTGTCCCGCCGTCCCTTTGTCGTGCACGCTCTGAAAAACCTCGTTCACAACGTTCTCGCTATCGATCTCATCGACACTATCATCAAGCTCACTCCAGGCGTTGGTCCCACCAGCGGCACGATTTTCCTCGCCCACCTCTCGCCCTTCCCGCGCTACGCCCTCTCTACCGTCCTCCATTTGGGCTTCGGTCTACTCATTCACTGCGGCGTCTGCGTCGTGTACGACTCCTTCGCCCTTCTCGCTGTCCTCGGTATCGGCCAGAGCCCGGCGGGATGGCCGCCCATCACCGGGGGACTTTGGCATGTGACGTCGCTGCATGCGTTCTGGTCGCGCGCGTGGCACCAGGCTCTGCGGCACGTCTTCCTCGTATATGGAGGCTTCCCCGGACGCGCAGTCGCGGGCAGGGCGGGCGCCACGGTGGGGACGTTCCTGGCGTCCGGGCTGGTGCACGAACTGGGGATCACCGCCGCAGGCGTAGGGTTCGACGCGCGGGTGCTCGTCTTCTTCCTTCTGCAGGCCGTGGGGGTTGTGCTGGAGAAGACTCTTCGGGAGGTGATGGGGAGAAGGGTGGGCGGGTTCTTCGGGTTCATGTGGGCGGCTCTGTTCGTGGTTGGGTTTGGACAGATGTGCAGTAAGTTGTTTCTCCGCGGGCCTTTGAAGATCTATTCTGATTCCCTGGCGCAGCCGATGCGTGGTTTTCAAGAGGGATCGGCGGAGCAACGACCATTCCCACTCAGCTCAGCCCAATTCGGCGACTCGTCCTTCCATCTTCCCGGTGGCTCGTGTACGTGGCGTTAAAGGGGGCGGAGTGCTCAAAGTAGGCGAAGTGTTTCCGCGGCGTTTTATTGTAACCGCTGATGCCGTTATCGCTAGCTCCACGTAATCTTACGGCACACGTGGACTTTGATTACCCCTGTTTGTGTCGTCAATTATCTGAGCAACATACTTCAGGAGCGGGCAGAGTTACGCGTGTATTCACCCCCCCCCCCCATTCCTCGTTCTACCCGGTACGTTCCTTGCGGCTGATTAGGAGGTTTACTGACGTTGTCCCAGTTCCAGTCATGGAAAATGACGCCAGAGCGTACAAACTCTACGCTGCACTTCGAGACTGGCACAAACGATCTCTGTCCTGGCTACTAGCAGTGCCGTACTTTTTGGCCGTCCTGACCCTGTATTTCTCAATGGCGTACTTGACCAGAAGAGAAGGCACCTACCTGCGTCGACTCTGCCTGCTGCCAGTTGCCATCACGATTTACATACGATCGGTCACCCTCTTCTTGAGTGGCAATGACTATGCAGGGTGGTTTGACTGGGTCAGAGGTAGGTGTTGTATATTGTAAACAGGTAGGTATCACTAACGTGTCTCAGGCCTTGCTGCTTTGACCTTGTCGGCCCATACAACATACTGGGCGATCATTCCAGAGGGCGCCTTGAAAGAGGGAGAAGACACTCTCGCTTGCCGGATCCCTTACGTGAAGGACAGCAACTTCATACCGCCATGGCTTTCAGACGCATGGGAGGTCGGCTCCGCCGCACGAGGCATCGGATGGAAATTTGGGCAAGGGGTCCGTCTCCCGGAAATGCGGCGGCCTCTGGATCGACGAACCTATCTCAGAACCACCTCCCTCTCCATCGTCAGAACCTACCTTATCGTGGACGCCGCCAACTCCCTCCTCGAACTTCTTCCAGGAATCACCCCCACGGGTGGCACGATATTTTTACCGTGGCTTCCACCCTTGCAACGCTACGCGGTATCGACGCTGCTTCATGTATCGATTGGGCTGTGCATCGTGCTCGGGATCGAGCTGTGGTACGACCTCGCGTCGCTGGTCGGAGTGGGCCTGTGCGGCCAACCACCCTCGGCGTGGCCTCCATGTCACGATCGTCCGTGGTTGGCGCGTTCGTTGCACGAGTTTTGGTCGAGGCGGTGGCACCAGACTCTCCGCCATACGTTCATGGTCATCGGAGGTTATCCCGGGGCGTGGGTCGCAGGTGATGTTGGGAGGTTGTTCGGCGTGTTCCTGGCGTCGGGATTATATCACGAAGTGGGATTCTGGCTGGGTGGCGCGCGCATAGACTGGAGGATGGTGGCTTTCTTCGTACTGCAGGCAGCAGGGATCGCTCTTGAGAAAGTATACGGTGCATGCACAGGGCGGAAGGTCGGAGGGAGGACTGGATTTATATGGGCAATGCTCTTCGTCGTAGTCATCGGGCAAATATGTAGTGAGTACTTGGTTTTATGTCATGATGCTCGCGTACTAAATGTCTTTTCAGCGAATTCATGGGTGGAACGAGGGGCCGCTGGACGAGCCATTGTACCTCCCGTGGTCAGCCCTGCACGCAGGTTTTTCATCCCGCTCATACGTGGCTACTTTAAATAAAACGTCGGATCGCTGCTGTGGATCCGCGGCATCTGGTACTTGCTTGTGCTTTTGAGCCGTTTGGCGCCCGTACTGTGCATTGACTGGGCGAAAGCGCCGACTCCGGCGGGGATGGAGAGGAAGGCGCAGTGCTGCACGCGAACCACTCTTCAGCTTCCGCGGCCACCGAGCTGCGCTCGCCATCCTCGCACCTCCTGTCTGCTGCGCTTACCATTTGTGCCGCGAATACTACTGCTTCTTTATCCTCTTGTCAACCATGTTCGCGGCCGCCTCCTCGTTCTTCGCCCGCACAAACATCTCCCAAAACTACACCATCGGCACCGCCGCGCCGTCCGTCGTCGGCGGGAGCAGGACAGGCACCCCTACACCTGGGGGCTCCGCGGCGGGCTCGCTGCCCCCGGCGGCCGCGCCCCCGCCGTTCAGCATCGGGCCCTGGCGGGTGCAGCCTGCGACGCACAAGGTCACGGGCAAACGCGTCTCGGTGTGGACCGCGGACAAGAAGAGCCAGGAGATGGAGCGGATGGGTCCGCAGTCGCGGGACAAGACGTTGGAGGTGCTCAAGGCTGAGGTGCGTGCGTGCGGGGCTTGCGATTGGCGATTGTGAGGGCAGGGAGGCTGAGACTATGGGGCGGTACTTGGGCAGGCGTCCGCGCTGAGCAGGCTCAGGCACCCGTCCGTGCTAGGTGAGCCGGGAGGTTTTGGTGGGCAGCGTTGGATGTAGAGGGCTGACGGCAGGCTTGAAGAGGTTGTGGAACCCCTGGAAGAAACTCGGACGGAACTCATCTTCGCGACCGAGCCTGTGCTCGCGTCTCTGCACCTCTCGGTCCCTGGCTCGTTCCAGTATATGCCACTTGTGGAACTTGACGAGGTCGAGGTTAGTTGCGCCGCATAACTGCTGCTCTATCTGTTGTATCTGATTGGATTCGTTTAGATCCAGAAGGGTATACTGCAGCTATGCAAAGGCCTGACCTTCATGCACGGCTCCGCCCGCCTTCTACACTCAAATATTAACCTGGAAAGCATTATCATCAATAGTGCGGTACGCTTCCGCTCTGTGCCAGATCAGCGGCGCGTGCTCATGGTCAAACAGGGCGACTGGAAGCTTTCGGGCCTAGGACAAACGATTGCTCTATCACGACCAGACGGTAGTGCTCCCCGGTGGGAATATCCGACCTTTGATGGACGTGCGTCGACATACACTCAGCGTTCATTCGACTACATTGGTACGTCGGTCGCGACGTCCGTGCCTGCGTGATTCTGAAGATTCGGTCGAACAGCCCCCGAATACGCGCTCGACGAAGTGCTCGATCCCGCGTCTGATATGTACTCACTTGGCTGCTTAATTTATGCGGTACATTGCAAAGGAAACCCGCCTTTCAAGAATCATGGCAGCCTGTCGTCTTTGCGGGAGAATGCCGGTAAGCCCTTGGTCGGTATGGAACGATTGGAGCAAGACTTGCGTTGTGAGTGCCTACTACACTAGTGCTTGAAAAACCAAATTCTGAAACACATGTCTAGCACTCCTCAGCGCCCTCATCACCAGACAACCTCATGGTCGGCCAAGTCCATCAGACCTCCCGCTGCATCCTTTCTTCTCGTCTTTGCCTGTCTCAACACTGAGCTTCCTGGACCGGTCCAATTTTGCCGCGAAGACTCGTGAAGAGAAGATCTCGTTTATGAAGGGCCTGACAAGTGTTTTGGACAAATTCTCGGAAGGTCTTCGGACGCGTAAGATCCTTCCCTCGCTGCTGGAAGAAGTGAGTGTCTTTTCGTGCTCTTGAGAGCGTTGACGCTAAACACAGGAGTAGATGAAAGACACCCACCTTCTACCCTACATCCTCCCCAACATCTTTGCCATCGCGCAAGTGCTCTCGTCCACGCAGTTTGCGACCCTCGTATTGCCCAGCCTCAAACCGCTGTTTGCAATAAAAGAGCCCCCGCAGAACATGCTTACATTGCTCGACAACTTGATTTTGCTGCAGCAGAAGACGGAGAAGCCTGTATTCCGAGAACGTAAGGACTCGGGATTCAGTTTTGAGGTCGCGTCACTTATTCTTATTTTCTTTTAGATGTCTTGCCTCTTGTCTACAACGCGCTAGAGAGCGAGCACTCCATCGTAGGACCACGTCTGACCTCGTTCTCGCCTCAACCTTATCACCAGTCTGTTTCAGGTGCAAGAACGTGCCCTCAAGTCCGTCCCCAACCTTTGTGAGACCATCGACTATGCGGAGGTACAAGGCGTGTTGTTCCCACGAGTTGCTGTGAGTTGTCTGGGGATCATGGAGGAAAGATGGAAAGTCGATCTGACATTCTGATATGCAACTAGTTGGTCTTCACGAAAACACGTATGCTGTCAGTCAAAGTGGCGACGCTGGAAACTTTCTTGTCAATGGTACATACCCTCGATCAAGTAAGCTCTTCGAAGTGCCAAAGGTCGAAAGCTTCACTGACCACGTTCTTGTAGTCGAGTTTAACTCAAAAACTAGTACCGTTGTTATCAAGAATTCGGACGAAAGAACCCGCAGTGACGGTATGCTATGTTGTAGCTGTGTCCTTACTCGTGTCCTTATATTTTTGCAGATGGCTACTTTGGCTGTACAGGAAGCGATGGGCCTGAAGGTTGATCGCGAGGCTGTTGCAACCCTCGTGCTTCCTCAGCTATGGGCGATGTCGATGGGACCATGTGGGAGACATTCCTTGTTACAGCATGCCCTGTTCTAATTTCAGCTTCACAGTGTTGACCGTTTCTCAATTCAAAAGGTTCATGGATGTTATCAAGAAGCTGGGCGATCGCGTAGAGAAAGAACACGACCAGTACCTCCGAGACTCACAGCGTATCGAGGACCGATCCGCTGTGACCAGTTCATCTAGTATCCCAGTGGGTGCGAACGGTGCTGTCGACTTCGAAAGTCTCGTGGGCAATGGGAGTAGTAGTACTCCCGCAAGCAGGGCAAATGCTACAGGCGACGCTCCGGCTCCGAGTTGGGAGGATGACGTTTGGGGTAGCATTTTCTCCAATGGTACGGTCAGTGGCTCGACGGTGAGTTGTTGTTCGGCCTTGATGCACTCCACCATGTTGACTATGCATCCCCTTCCCAGAGCCCTGTACCCCCTTGCCCCTCGAACCATACGTCGGCGGTCGTAGGGAGTCACCTTTTGAGCCATGCACAATCCACTTTAAGGACATCACCTCCCCCACCCCGGGCGTGTCGCTTCAAGACCTGCTATCCTCTTGTCGCCTTATAGCCGGCGAAGCACCCATCCCAAGCGATGTTACGACCAAGCTGTCAATCAGGATCCATGTGAGTACCCAAACTGACATGAGACAAAGCTCACGACGCGTTGCAGTTTCAACATTGCTCGACGGAATACACGCGCCAGATAACAGTCCGAAGGACAACCAATCTTTGCCCTCCCGTGTCACTGCACTCGCTGGCCAAGAAGATTGCAGATGAGACTTCAAAAGCCATTGTAAGCCTCTTCCCTAAGGTCGGGGTTTGATACTCACTAATTAAATGGTCCAGGCACAACACCACCCGACATTCCACAACGTCTTCTTCTCAGTCGACAACCTCCGTCTCTGTGCTCTTCATCGGTGCAGCCGTGGTTCTTGGGCCCCGGAATTCGTTATTCGCGTTTGAAGGCGATACAGATATAGCTGCGGAAAGTTATGAACATTTGGATCCGATGAACGAGCCTATACTTTCACAATATCACCATGTAGCGACCGCTCGTGCCCTGTGACGATTCATGACGACGTATGTACTCACCAACCTCAGAGACCCGTGTTGCCTTCGAGTATCTGAACGAGCCCAAGAGTGACGGGGATCGTAGGCACCAGGACTGGCGGTACATATACTTTCTTCTGACGAAGTTGCGCACACAGTTCTGTGTTGCGATTGGACGGCGTTGAGAACAGTTGAGACTCCTAGGAATCCAAGGATAGACACATGCTCCGCTGTATGGGACCCGCGGCCACTTGTGGCAGAGGGAAATGCGATGTATCCAAACAGCCTCGGTGGAAGTTGGCAACACGTGCTGTGAATGACTTGTTGGGGATGCCCGTGGGCTCCATGATGGTGCCGCAAACTTCGTGGGACGGGCAGAATCAAAGCCAGTTCTATCAGACAGAGAGTGCGGCTCGAAGGCGCAGCGGTGGCACAGAAGGGTCCGCGGACCGCATTCCACCCAGTGACCCACATAGTACATACACAACGCTGTGTAGAATGCGGACACTGTCGAGGCCAGTGATGCGCCGGCAAAGTCCAGTATTATCCCGATGTAGACACGGCCCTGGCCCCTGTAGGCTGTGATCCAAAAGGTCACTCACATATGCGAGGTCCAAGGGCTATATACAGCGGATTTGGCGAACGCCCTATTCTCCGTTCGTCTTGATTTTGTGGAGAGTGTGCAAGACGGCCAACACGCCACTGCTCTGAGTGGCATATGTTTGCGAGGCAATGGGCCCAACCGGGCCGGGTTCGGTACGCGACATGACAGGAGTCTCCGACTCGAAGGAGGCTTGCATGTCTCCTATTTAAATTGGCTCTCAGGTTCACTCTATCCAGCCCCCTCTACGCTGAACCATGACTGGCGAAACCATCCCTTCCGGCTCATCAACCGATTGGCAACCTCCTCCAACCATCTTCGACCCCACGACGTGCACGCGCAAGGGTTTGTGCCCCGTAACACACATCAGACACCAAGATGCGAACCCCCTAGAAAGCCACTCGTTGTACTATGAGGTCCATGGCTCTGGTCTGGAGAAAATTGTGTTTATCATGGGGTGCGTCCGCTTTCCGTCGGCCCTGTATAGTCAACAATAGAACCGAGCCTCGCAGCTTGAACGCCTCCGCTTCAGGATGGGTATCCCAGGTCGATTACTTCGGGAGAAAGCCGGAGTGCTCTGTTCTAGTATTTGACAACAGGGGCGTTGGAAACAGCGGATCTCCTCGTGGGCCATACACGTACGTGCGCCCATCGAGGGTTAGTCCTCAATCTGACTCTCTATAGCACGGAGGGGATGGCCCAAGATGTCGTGACGCTGCTGGATTTTGTTGGCTGGACGGAAAAGCGTCAGATTCATGTCATTGGCATATCTCTGGGCGGTATGATTGCACAAGGTACGTAGCAACTTGGTGCAACGAATTATCAAAGTTTGGACGCTATGTTGAGTCTAGAACTTGCGGAGAAGATCCTTGAACGTACCGCTTCGCTCACCTTGGTTGTCACCAAGCCTGGGAGACGTCGTCTGATTGAGCTGCCCTCTGTAAGGCATAACTTCCGGACTACACAGCATTGTCACTGATAACCATTCAGTATGTGGGCACAAGGAACTTGTTGAGGTCGATGATGGTGTCCAACCCAGAAGACAGGATCCCACTCGTCCTGGAGACGCTGTTCCCTCAGGAATGGCTCGACTCCAAAGACCCTTCAGATCCCGAGGGGCGCACGAACAGAGAGCTTCAAACGATAGTTAGTCCCCATATGTGCTTTGATGCGCTTCACTCATTGGGTACTTTAGGCGTACCGCGAGCGAATCGCTGTCACCCCCCACAAACACTTGTCGGCTCCTTGTCTCAGATGGCTGCGGCAATGACACACCACGTATCCCCGGAAAGACTACGGAGGATCTCGTCGGCTATACCCAAAGTCGCAATTGTGACAGGGGATACGGACACTCTCATTGACCCTAGGAACAGCCAGCTCTTGAAGCAAGACATGCCAGAAGCCGAGCTCATCATTCGAGAGGGGGCGGGCCACGGGGTACCCATGCAATACAAGGAGTGGTTCAACGAGGTGCTTGAAAGACCCTCAAGGAAGGCAGGGAACGCGCAAATTGAGAGGGCGGGCGAAGCAGGACAAGGACATTAAATCCGGGTCGTTACATGTAGCAAGTTGGTTAAGAGCTGGACTAAGGGAGGCTCCCAGAAAGACAAACGAGTGGAATACGAGACTGCGTGTATTTTGGAGTTCAAACTGGGCTCGCTTTCAAGAACTTGAACACGTACCATGAACATTCTTCCCACTAATGCTCCTTGATCATCGTCACGAGCGTTTTCTTTGCCTGAGAGGGCAGGCCTTGCATCTCAGGTCGCATCTCCGACTTTGTGGGTTCGATCCGGATGTTCTCAGGAAAGCTATCACCTGCCTCTTGCCTGCGCTTCTGCAGAATCTGGATGAGGGTTGGACGCGGGACGTGTGTGGGGTTTGGTTGTGGGAGTGGACGGAACGACGGGTCGACCTGCGAGCGCGGAATCACGCGGACGAGTCGGGGAAGGGTGACACGCATCGTGGCAGCTGGATGATGCTACGAATCGCTGCAATAGCGCAGCAGGTCAGGGAGCAGCAGGCGGAGGGCGTGGCAGGGGTCGAGGCGTACCAGCGAGGATGGAGGGTGAAGGCAAGTGAGGTCCCGTGACGTCGGACGCGTCCGTCGTCGACGCGTTTTGAGCTGTCAGCGAACGTTGGCGCCTGCAATACGGCGCCTTGCTCAGCTCAGCTCCACCCTCCACAGGCACTGTACTGTACTGCTCCGCCCTGTTCGTAAATATCATATCCTCCTCCCGAGAAAAGAGCACCTCGTCAGTTTCTCTCTCATGTCAACCATCCCGCGCAAAAGAGTCGGTGACTGTACTCCAAGCAATCCCGGAGGCAGCAATCCCACCAAGAAGCCACGAGCAACCAAAGCGCAGAAGACCAAGAAAGCTCAGAAGCAGGAGGAGGCACCAGAGTGGCCCGAATACTTCCATCATGTATGCTGACTACTACTTCCCCGGGAGGTGAGCTCACTAAGTGACATTTCCCTCAGTTGTTTAAGGTAGGGGCCTCTCAATCCCGACAGGCGCATAGCTCAGACGCACCTACCAATCCCTCCCTTCTGCAGATATTCAAGGTAAATCTGTTAGACAATAAATGTACGATTGGGTGCTCAGAGCTTGAGGTGCGCAGTCTTTGAACACTGTTCTTGCGTTCTGCTCGTCAAGGAAGAACCTCGCCATTACATTTCCCGTCGTCCGGACGTCCGTAGAGGCCCTGCTGCATGGGTACGTTTAAGAGTATACATTACTGAGTTTCTTTTCACGACATTCACAGGCCACTGGAACTCGAAAAAGTGGCCGAGTTCAAGTGAGCTCATTCACATCAATCCCTATACCCTCACCCGCTGATCGGAAACTCCAGAGCATTGCTACCGGAGACTGTGAAATTTGCGTACACCCCACGAGATGAGCTGAAGATACATAGTACCCAGCAAGGGAGCAGTTCTCGTCGTGAACGCTCCCCCGACTTCTCTGCATTCCAAAACAGTGCGAAATCATCGGCGTCACGAGTGAACGATGTAGACCTAGACGAGCACGTTCTAGTGTTAGACTTCATCGACAACTCCCGGGGGAAGAAACCTTCATCGAACGCTGGATTTGCGTACGCTCCACCCCCTGCATTGACCCCTGCAGCCACTAAGAAGCTGGTTGAGAGGCGTAATGGTCGCTTCGTCGAGGCTGTCAACGAGTAAGACCCTACGATTTTGAGGGTTTCGTGACATACTCAACCACGCCGTTTCAGATTACTGAGTGCCACACCAGAAGGAGACGACCCGGTCGCTCTGCTTCAGGCCGCTGCGCGAGATCAACTGCCCGTCCACCCAAACACTCGTCTCGTCCCAGGTGCCAGCCAACCCACTTCCACGGGCCAGTACAAAACGGTCCCTGCGCCTGAGGAAAGACCATCGATAGACCAGGTCGTCGAGGAGCTCCTGCAACAAGAATGGTACAGGCAACAGATCGCATATCAGCGCACTTTTGACGCCAAAGAAGGCCACATAGGTATGTGAATATTTGCGGTGTAGCCATAGATTCGGCTGACCCGTCAAAGCTTCGCTCGACCCACCTTTGTCCGATGAGATTGCGCAGGCACTGCGAGATTCTAGGAAGATTACTTCGTTGTACACCCATCAAGTTGCCGCAATCCAAGCATTATCTCGATCTCAGCACGTTATAGTGTCAACGAGCACTGCATCGGGGAAGAGTGTGATATACCAGGTCAGTCTTTTGTTCAATGGACAGGTCGGCAGCACACTCCTATTAACACAGCGCCGAAGGTACCATTGTTGTGCTTTTTGCAGGCGGAACCACAGTCCACAGCTAT